TTCCACAATCTCACTGGGAAACTTAAGCTGCCCCTCAAGGTCTGACAGCACTATCCAATCCCGATACCCACTCAGGATCCCAAAACCACGACTCTCCTTCCGGTCGTCTGTACCTGCTTTTCTTTTCCCAGCAGGAACAAAATCAATGAACTGCCTTCCATCGCCGGCCTTGTTCTTATAAGTGTTCACTCGGCGATCACAATGGAAGACAACCTGTTCAGAGATCTGCTTCAGAACCTTGTCGTGCCGCCATCTATATCTTCCTTGACTAAGGGCCACCTTACACCCAGCCAAAATGTGCTGAATGGTGCCCATCCTCTCCTCACATAACTTGCACTTCCCATCCTCATCTTCACTCCACTTGGAAACCATAGAGGGGGTTAAGAGGGTGCCGTACACAGCACTTAGCATGAACCCAATAAGTGATTCACCATACTTAAAAAGTGTATGCCAGCTCAAATCTGTCTTCATTACGAGCTCTCTCCACTCACCCCACCTGCTCTGCATCTCCAGAGAACCTACTTGCACCTCCCTCTCTCTTTCAATGTTCTCCTTCACTCTCAGCATAACCTCCCTCTCTCTTTCCCGCTCATCCATCCTCTCCCAAGGTTTTTTCCAGTCACCAAAACCGATGCCAACTCTTTTTTGAGGTTGCACCATCCCTCGCACCGATTCACAGACCAAATCTCTTCTGGCCTCTTCCAGTTCTGTCTCAGGCCTCCAAACTCTACCAGAACGAACTTGGGGCTGGACTGCTTTAATCAGGTCATCCTTAGATGTCTGATAGGATTGCAACAGTCGACACTTCTCTATCTTCCATGTATCTGTCAAAATGCTCACCGGTAAGGCCACACTGGATGATTGACTAAACAGACAAAGACCACTCAGAGTGTGCCCCACCCCTAACCACTTCCTGAGGAAACTATTGGTATTCTGTTCCCATCTAGTAACTGTTGTGATCGGAATATCATAGATGGCAAGAGGCCACTTCAGTTTTGGAAGGACCATGTACTGATATCCCCAGCACTTCTGGAGTCCAGTAAGGGAACTTTCATCGAGTCTCCGAAGAAAAGTGTTAAGGTCGACCTTGGTTGAGTCGATGACTGATTTGTCATTTCCTTCCACTCTTATCCATCTCCCAAGGAATTTTATCGGCTTCTCGGACACATTCGGAATCACCTCACCACCCAACTGCAAACACAACTCTTCTCTCTCCACCTCCTCCTCTCCTACCACTACCTCCTCAACCCACCTCACAGCCACTCCCTTCTTCAACACCAGTGCTCTGGACTTGGAGGACTTTAACTTAAATCTGGACCAGTCCACGTACTTCTGAAACACATTAAGTAACGTTTGCATATCCTCTGCACGTGCGGTCGTCAGACAGCTATCGTCCATAAACAGCTTCAGAGTTGGTATCGGTGTGTCATCCTTGATGTACTCAATGCTTTTCGGAACCTTAGACTTTAGGTGTTCATGCCCTAGGTTCATGCACAAGACATACATACATGTTACATGGCGAGATCTCCATCCAAAAGGATTAGTCTGCGTCATCTGCGTCATTACTTTGTATTATACAACTTCGGCGGGTAATATTTCTCCATCCTTTTCGATCTGCAGCCAATCTTCTCATACAATCAATCGTGAGTCCATTACGATCCAATCTCTGCTCAGCATCTTCAATAAATACATCATTTAAGCTCTTCCTAGGCCTGCCTCTTGATCGTTTCCCATGCTTGGGTTTCCATTCAAGTAGATAGTTAGGTAACCGATCTTCAGGCATTCTACTGACATGTCCAAACCAACGTAGCCGTTTTGTTGCTATTATGTCAGTAAGAGCAGTTATTGATGCCCTTCTTAAAACATCTTCATTTCTTACTCGATGGAACCACCTCACTCTCAGGATTCTGCGTAAGCAGTACTGATGGAAAGACTCTAATCTTCTTGTCTGCACTTGAGTCGTGTTCCATATCTCACTTCCATAGGTCAGAATGGTAAGAACAGCTGCGATGTAGATTCGCACTTTGTTGTTAATGCTTATGTTCTTATTCTTCCAAATGTTATTGAGTTGGTTAAAAGCTCCGGTTGCTTTTCCAATCCTGACACTTATTTCTTTATCGATCTTGCCATCCGATGTAATTTTGGCACCCAAATAAGTGAATTGAGTGACCTGCTTTGCAGAGTTTCCATCGACAGTAATATCTATGGTCCTATTCTCTGGGAGTGGGTGCTGCGACGTATCTTTCCCAATTACCATGATCTCTGTTTTCTTTGCGTTCATCTTTAAACCCCCAAGCCCACAGTATTTCGCAATATTGTCCGTTGTTTCTTGCAGTCCCTCGACAGTGTCATCCATGCCTGCTATGTCATCAGCATAGTCCAAATCAATGACACATTTTTCCGGTTGTCTGGAACTTTGTCTGTACTGAAGAGTAAAACCACGCGATATATTTTTAAACTTCTCGGCAAGTTCTAATCCCCAGTTAAGTACAAGGTTGAAAATGGGAGGCCCTTGCACATCACCTTGTCCAGTCCCCGAATCGACATCAAACCATCTTGTCAATTCCCCATTGACACGAACTGCACTTTCAGTTGCTCTAAAGAACGCTTTGAAAACATTGATGTATTTTGTTGGAAGACCATAATGTTCAAAAGCTTTCCAAATAAAGTCACGATTGATTGAATCAAAAGCAGCTTTAAAATCAATAAAGTTTATATACAAAGGGACGTTGAATTCTATACAATTGTGTATTATACAATGAAGGGAGTATAGCTGATCTATACAAGAACGGTTTCTCCTAAAACCACACTGATTTTCTCTAAGTAACTTTTCAAGCCCATTACTTAGTCTTTTTAACAACACGATTTGAAATAACTTCGATACGGTGGAGCGTAGAGTTATCCCTCTGTTGTTGTTGCAATATGTGAGGTCCCCTTTCTTTGGGATGATGGTGATGATTCCTTTCCTCCAATCACTAGGAATATCCTCACTTTTCCATACAGTTTCAAACAAATCTTTTAACCAAGGCAGAAGTCCAGGAGAACCGTACTTTAACTGCTCATTTGAAATTTCATCAATTCCAGCACTTTTGTAGTTCTTCAACTTCTTGATAGCTTCCTCAATTTCAAACAAGGACGGTGGCTCATCATCATTACTAAGATATTCAAAAGAAAGTACCTTTTCGTCCTCATCCAATAGAGAGAAATCCACCGCATCTGCTGCTGGCGTCAAGAGTTCTTCAAAATATTCGGCCCAGCGATGTGACTGAGCTTCGGGATCTGATATAAGTGTCCCATTCTTATCCCGCACTGCCGCAGATCTGTTTACTCTCTTGTTTGTAAGGGATTTTATTTTCTGCCACACATCTCTTTGTTGACCCTGCTTGGCAGCCTCTTCCAATTCCTCAGCTACTCTAACAGCCCAGGCATTATCATCTCTTTTACAGTTCTGCCTAACAAGACCGTTAATCTGCGAGTACTTAGCACGATTCTCAGCAGTACTAGGTTTCTTTTTAATCTCACCTCGTTCTTTTAGGAGATTCTTAGTATCCTTTGAGAGATGTTCTGTTCTCTTTTTCCGGCCCCTTTCACCCAGAACTTCAAACGAGATATCAGTTATAATGTCTCTCAATTTCTTCCATTGTTCTTCTAAAGGAGAGTTTCCAAGCTCCTGATCGTTGGTATAGTATTTTTCAGCTATTTTGTTACTATATTCCTGGCTCTTAGATCTATCACGCAAGTTCTCTAAAGCAGGCTGTCTTACACGCTTCTTTCTTTTCTGTGGACACTTAAGCTTAATAGATACATATCCTCTTACCAGGTAGTGAGTAGTATTTATATCTGCTCCTCTCATGCTCCTGACATCAAGCAATGAATGGCTCCATCTCGTTGAAATACAAATATGGTCAATTTGAGTGACGGTGTTACCATTTGGGGATCTCCATGTTGTCTTGTGGATATCCTTGTGTTCAAAAAGTGTGCCTCCGATCGTCAGCTGGTGCATAGTACAGAAATCTAGCATCCGTTTTCCGTTATCATTGGATTCACAAGACAAACAAGATGACTGATATCACACACCTGCACCCCATGAAGATTCCTATCTCAAACTGCTGCCAGTCTGATGTCACCGTTCTTGAGGAGAACCTTCCGAATACCCCGGAGAAGTACCGTAGGATAATATTGATAACCTTCTCGGGGACGTTGTAGAAACGGAGGGCCCTGGCAATCAGAACATGGGGTACCGCTCCGTAAGCGTTAGCCAGGTCAAGCCATACCACACTCAGATCCTTCTTCTTGACCTTTGCCTCCTTCAGTACCTCCCACATGGCACCAAAATGCTCCGTGCACCCACGGACGCCTGGCACACCACCCTTCTGTATAGAGAGGTCTACGCGTACCGTGACGTAGATTAACCAGCCCTGAGCTCGTATCAATGTCAAGTGTCAAAACAATATGGCTAAAGTCTCCACTGGGGTGCTAAAGGTCGAATTAGTTGATATTCACACTCCTTTTAAGGCTGATTACATCGGACCACTAATATAATACGTTAGCAGAAAATTCGCAAAAGAAATAGCTTACAACTACGTTTGAAACTTGGCAATCTGTTGACGGGCTCGTGACACTAACACACGGTCGCCAAAGTATGGTCTACTAGACGAAGTTGCCAGACTTACTGCCAATTTAATATCACGTGACATACTGGCATACACTTAAACTCGAGCGCACGTCAAAAACGACCAAAACATATGGCATCAGACCCACTGTATCATGTGCGTTACGTGCAATGTCCGCCGTTAAATTACCTAAATGCCAGTACGTACGTTCGTCTGACGCTTGACGTTGCGACCTCAACTATTTTCGGAGGCTCAAGAGGGGACACTGGACACGTGTGTCTGGTGTCAGGCCAGGCAAGTACATTTTATGTGAATTATCTCATACTGTTCTAAAAACTCGTTCAAAGGTTTGATCCTTTTAACGACAGGCATGAAGTAAAATATCGGTTTGGTTAATAAACTTTGAGAATATCAATAGATTTTCATCAGCCTTGGCATTAGACTCAAAATTAGACTCAAAATATATTTATCTAGAGTTAAACGACTCAAAAGCGGTCAAGCCTAATAATTTAATAAAAAGAGTTTCCATCCATAGCCACGTAAAATCAAATAAAATAAAGCTTAATGCTTAAGCACGAACATTTTAAAAATCAACATCTTTTGAAAGTTTCAAAATAATTCAATTCGATGTGACTGAAGGAGCAATTTTTGCGATTACGCTCTAAAATGACTCAATCGTAAATGAAAATAAAATGACGATGAAAATGTTTGGTACATGGCTTAACCAGCATAAAAACAGCCTCAAAGCGCAATTTCCCTATATCAATAAATCATCCATGCGTATGATATGTACAATATTGAAAAATATAATTTTAATCGAGAGTAAAAATGATAAATCTACGGTTGTCATAAAAACGTGATTTGCGAAACATTTAATTTCAAGGAGACATTTTGTAGCAAAAATTTTAAAAACAAATTTTCAAAATTCACTTAATTATGCACAAGTCATAAAAATTCAAGATTGGGGTTCAACGTAGTTGCTTGGCATCATGCCAGTATGTCCCGTTCGAGAATTTGTTCCGACCATCCAACCTTCCGCAACAATTTCCGCATTGATAATAATATCTCCCTCCTTGATCGTGACCTCGTCCTCATCGGCAGCGTCGTACTCATACACGGCAACAAACTGAAAAAACGTTATAATTAAGCTATGTTTATCTTGGACATGCGATAAGACATTTAAGAAGGTTATCTAGGGCCTTTGAAAGAATCACTTGCATGAAAATGGAAAGGATATACAAATTATAGTTGGTAAATGCGGCAGGAGAAACTTAAGGTTTAGTTCCGTGTTAAGCACGGTGCTTTTCATTGAAGGAGACATATTATCGCTCAGTTAGGGGTTTTATTTTTTGTTTTTTTTTAAAGATAAAAAAGTAAGATCGTCTATTGCTAAAATCTGTCTCATCGATGATGATATTAAGAGTGGAAAGGAACAAAGTTAGTCAAACATCAGAATCCCTGTGAGACTATGACAGCTCTGTCGTGGCGGTCACTGTCAGGCGTCAACTGCTCTGCATCTCAGTCAATAACGTCAACTGCTCTGCATACCAGTCAATAATTTCTTCAGTTTCTGATCGATTTTGCGAGTCCAAGTTCACCGGCCACCACCATACTTCCAAAGCGCTAAGAAGCTGTTACCAACCATATATAGCCAGGGGGATTCTGATTGTTGACCCTTCGTGACAAAGCAAAGGTCCAACTAAATGGGTTTTTCGACAAGTAAGGAATTCGTTCAATCTCACACGGTTAAATAAATGTTTAAATGAGGGAAACATGTTGTAAACAGACGTTAGCTGCTTAAGGGACACTCGAAAATAGGTAGATGAAGAAAGGTTGTGTGATTACTATCCTAAATAATTGTAGGTAGAAAACTCTGAACTGAATAGAAGACTCTGAAGACCTGAAGACCTCGACAGTGAATTGAGTGACTTGTGTGCTATTATAAGATGTGGGGAAATAATCACTGGTAATTATAATTGAAGTGCTTCATAAGACAGAGGCACTTGAAGTGATGCTGGGCCTGAGGGCCGCACTTACCAACTACGGAATCAGGCGCTCTGAAATAGTTAGCTGAGGCCACTTGTTATCTTCAACTCAACAACTATTTTAATGTACATTTAATTTACATTTAATTTTACATTTTCTATAGGAATCCTAAATCGTAGCAGAAAAACAAAGCTGCGTCAGCGCTTTCTTTTTATTCTAAAAGCATATTTTTACTAAACGCTATAAAACCAGTGACTCTGATATTTCGACAAGTTATGCAGCACAATATAACGCTCTGCTCAACACCGCAGCCCACATTAGTACATCACCTTAACAACTATACTTTGAGACAATGATTACATGTTAATTTCTGCCAACAGACAGTTCAAACAGCCAACATTACAAAACTTATGAACACTAATTAAACAATTAATTACTGAATTAGTTGGTCACGTGGCTGTCACGTGGTAAGATTTGCACAGCTCACTTACTTATTCGGTTGCCTCTTCGTTTTCTTCCTATTTTAGATAAATTTCATTTAGTGCTGCCGAAAAGCCTACAAGCTTAACTTCAAAATTCTAAAAAAGGGGGAAATCGAACTTTCATGCGGGTGCCAGAAAAGTGAGCCGAACCTGAGGAACTGTTTCGACAGGAGCAGGGGGTTCAGCAGCCACTTCCTCTTCAGGAGCAGGAGGTGCTTCTTCAGCAGCAGGGGGCGCGGCTTCTTCTTCAGGGGCTGGGGGCTCTACTACTGCCTCTTCGTCACTGTCGACCTGACAAAATAGTATTGATATATTAATAAAGGCTAACAATACAAGTAGCTAAGCTGGTTGTTGTAAATTATAGAACTGTGTGGATATAAGAACTCGAAACGACAGCGCAGAGCTTTGGTTAATTGGTTGCACAGGCAGTTTTTAACGTACAAGGGTTTTAGTCAGCAACCTGATATCACAGTGCTGGCAAGCACGACCGCCACCATTATACTCACTATACTATTTACCCCCTATACTATTATACCCCCTTTACTGTTTTTCAGGCATAAAGACTCACCGAAAGTAGTTCAGCAGGCATATTTTAAGTTCAGAATAATTTTATTAAAACACTCATTTTGTGATTTAGTATTCTCTGGTGTTGGGCCATCCCTTGGGTTGTGGAGCTTAGTTCTGCTTCCTATAGGTCTATATTGTGCATTAGGCGAATTTAAAAGTTGAAAATCGAAAAGTTGCACACGTGGGGACACGCCTAAATTGATTGAAAATTGCTAAAATCACTGAAAATTGCTATTTACACGATTTTTACCAACTTTTGAGTCCCGTTGAAATGTAAGTTCTCATTGAAATCTTTTGAAACTTTGTTCGTTTATCAAACTTTATATAAAATACCAACATGCAAAAATTTACGGTGATTCAATATTAAATGCGCACGCAACGTCCGCTCAAAGTTTGCACGTGCAAAAGGTGAGAATTTTGCCCATTCGTGATGTCGATTAGATTCTGCTTTCCCACGACAGTTAAATGGCATTATATATGAATTTAATGCCAACTTGAATGAGTATAAAGTGGCATATTCAGTCAGTGATCGACAGATATGCTTATCTAAACACAAGGAAATGTTTTCAAAGGTAACATTTCGAAATCGTTGAAATTGCGTCCTTATCAATGAAGTTATCACTTTATATTTCGACTTTGTAAAGTACCCTGACATTAACGAGGTCTGATCGTCATCTTCTTATAGCGTTTGATGTCTGTGTGAAGGTAAAATGGTGACATCATCTGGATCAGGCAGGGGTCGAGTGTTATCGGGATTACTTCTGTAGTAGTTATACAGCAATAGTCAATACTAAGGTATTTCCGCAGTAGTCCCATTACCCTGACATTAATCAAAAAGAGATAATATTTGACCAAAACCCATAATTGGGTAGAGTGGACCGCTGCCAGTGTCTCTCTTTTCCAAACAAAAGTAAATGGTATTAGTTTGAATGACCGTCTGCAAATGCAAAATGATACCGAGAATGAAATCGGTCGCTCGCTTTTCCCATTCATTTACAATTACAATTGTAATAGATTAAGAAGAACTACCCGAAGGCAGCTGTACTTGGCAATAACGATTCAATAAACATCAGTTAATTGGACACTAACTATACCGCCCTTATATTATCCCGAAATACTAGGTATCGACCCGAAAGCAACCAAAATAGATTTTTACAGCATGTGATTGATGCAATTAATCGAAACTTATTTATACAATTCGTAAGCCGTGAATGAATGGGAAAAACGAGCGACCGATTTCATTCTCGGTATCATTTTGCATTTGCAGAAGGTCATTCAAATTAATATCATTTACTTTTGTTTGGGAAAGAGAGACACTGGCAGCGGTCTTCTCACCCAATTATGGGTTTTGGTCAAATTACAGTATAGTGATAAAAATAACTTATTCACAAAATACTTAGGGACATTTACTGTAGTGCTATAGAAAATAGGGGACAACTGCGTTGGATAAGTTATGAAGGAATATTGGATGATATCAATATAAGTGCAGCTGGTTTTGGATGGAAACAAAGTGACCGTAGTCACAAATAATTCGACGTGCATTGTACAGTACACTTTTTGATAAAACTTTAAATCCACTTTCACAAGTTATTATCTATAATTACGATCTGCCTTGTTCAAACTGCTTCTATTTTTATTTATCCTGGAGAGTTTGGAAACGCTTTATATCAGTGGCTAGGCTGGCGGCTGCAGGTAAATGACAGCCGCTTCTTCATAGCAAATATTTTGCCGATAGTTTATGGCAACTATATACAACTGTAGCCGCTGATAACTGATATAGCCGCTTGTTTTTAGCAACTAGATTGCGGCTAGTTTATAGCAAATATTTTGCCACCACTTAATAGCAACTATTTTTTCGCTTGTTTTTAGCCATAATTTTACCGGAGCCTGCATTCCTGCTGGATCCTGGAAAGCTGCCGCGAGTCCTTTTACCTAAGTTAAATAAATTACGCCCCAAATTCAAATACTTGGTAAATGGTGATCAATCGAAACATAAAATTATGACAATAGGTTAATTATAACTATGAAGTATGATCCAATGTTTTGAAGTACCTTGTTAGGTTTGGCCTCCTCAGCAGGTGGGGCCTCAGGCAACACTGGTTCAGGTTCAGCTTCAGGCACAGGCTCTGGAGGAGCTAGAACCTCGGCAGGGGCCTCCAACTCATTGGAGACAAGCACATCAGGGCTGGCGGAGCGGGGGGCCTCCTCTGGTTCGGAGGACACGGACTTCGGCTTATCATCTGAAATGGGCGTGCTTGATATATTTTATTTGATGTACGGTGATTTTGATGCTGTTGCTTTTGAAGACTATGAAAACATTACGCGCAATCTTTTTGAATTGGGATTGTCAATCCAAGGGAGTTGCAGCAACATAGGAACAAGTACAAGAAACTATGTAGCTAAAACGATGAAGTACCAATTTTAGCGCTAGACCATTTTTTTGGGCGTTATTGATACAATTACAAGGTGTTATTTCAGCAGAAAATGGAAGAAGGCCATTATATGTGTAAATATAGCCTCAAGTTCTGAAATTATGCTGATGATGATGAGAATGACCCGCGAAAAGATGCCAAGGATGGTGATCGGTGAGTGAGAAATACAGCGGGACACAAGCGAGCGCACACAAGCGAGCGCACACAAGCGAGCGCACACTTACCGTCATCTACTTCTGTATACTCTCCGTTATGAGTTATAACGTATCCTAGCAGGGTTTATATAATTTAAAACATTTAATTTACAATGATAGATAATCCCCACTTCTTTATTGTGACATTAGCAAATTTTGGTAATTAACTGTTAAGCGGACTTAGTGGATTATGAATACTAGTACTTTTGTTAAAGAAATTGTGTAATTCGTAATCATTAAACGATTTTTTGCCCATTATCAAGACCATTTCCGCTCTTACTTTTGCGCAGCTCTTCTGCCGCATCCTTTTATTAATTAACAATCCGTCCTACCCTTCTATTTGAAATCCTTAAAACAACAGTAATTTCTTTCCGGGGAGACAGAGGGGTGAGAAAGAACTTTGCGGATATAGAGAGTCTCGATTTGAACTTGGAGCCACAAGGCCAACAAGGGTAAATTTCAAATGTTTCTGCCAATATTTCAGTTGGGAAATATATTGAATTTTTGAAGGTTTCTTTTTATATAATAGGGTGATAGTGATATTATGTGTATATTGTTTGAATACTTTTTATATACTATATTAGAACATCCCAGCCCAAACGGCTCTCTCATTTGCTATTAAATCAGATAATTTATTCATTGGAAGATTGAGGAGACCTAGAATGAACTTGTTATCGGTTTTAAGAAGTGATTTAAATAGTAGAAGTTTGCAAATGGACAACTTGTATGAATTGAACGAAATTAAAGATATAGCTGCATGCAACAGATGTTGGGAAAATCTTTTTCAATGGTACAGTTTACCGCATTAAGGGGGCATACACCAAATCTGTCCAGACCAAATGACCTCATAGGCAGTTCAGTGACCTTCTAGCGCACCGTTTCCACATCAAAAAAAATTATTTCGAGAATACCCATTTTTGTAATCGACCATTTCCTGGTTGAGAGTGCAATTTTCGGAAAAAATTATTTTGTGGTTGAGACGCTATAAGTTAATCATTTCTTGCGGTATCGGATTGAAATTTTGCTCGCCGTTTATTCACATCTATTTCAAGGTGTGTGTAAAATCTTGATATCGTATCTAAAAAGGCTGGAGTGTTATGAATTTTTAAAGTCAAAAAGCTAAAATTGTCCTTTTTAGGCTTATTTTAACAAAAAGACAGTCAGGGAAGATCGGATTGATTTATTGCTTGACATCAAATTGTTCTCTGAATTCTGGCGCAGTTTTTGATGCCCTCAAAAATGTTTTTACTCATTCAGCTTCAGATCTATTGGACCTCAAAGCCAAACAACAAATTTAGGCACATTTTTCGTTTTTAATATTTACTGATTTTTCTAAAATTTTGATAGGAATGTGCTAGTGACTTTTTGAAGGGTGCAAAATAACCGCAACTAGCACATTTATATATGAGTTATGAACAACAAAACACCCTAAAATGCTTCCCTTTGAAGTTATGGGAGAAAATGTGATTTTTTATCTGCAAAGCCAAAAAATTACATTTTCTCCCATAACTTCAAAGGGAAGCATTTTAGGGTGTTTTGTTGTTCATAACTCATATATAAATGTGCTAGTTGCGGTTATTTTGCACCCTTCAAAAAGTCACTAGCACATTCCTATCAAAATTTTAGAAAAATCAGTAAATATTAAAAACGAAAAATGTGCCTAAATTTGTTGTTTGGCTTTGAGGTCCAATAGATCTGAAGCTGAATGAGTAAAAACATTTTTGAGGGCATCAAAAACTGCGCCAGAATTCAGAGAACAATTTGATGTCAAGCAATAAATCAATCCGATCTTCCCTGACTGTCTTTTTGTTAAAATAAGCCTGAAAAGGACAATTTTAGCTTTTTGACTTTAAAAATTCATAACACTCCAGCCTTTTTAGATACGATATCAAGATTTTACACACACCTTGAAATAGATGTGAATAAACGGCGAGCAAAATTTCAACCCGATACCGCAAGAAATGATTAACTTATAGCGTCTCAACCACAAAATAATTTTTTCCGAAAATTGCACTCTCAACCAGGAAATGGTCGATTACAAAAATGGGTATTCTCAAAATAATTTTTTTGGTGTGGAAACGGTGCGCTAGAAGGTCACTGAACTGCCTATGAGGTCATTTGGTCTGGACGGCACAAACCACTGTTTTGGTGTATGCCCCCTTAAGGGGAGATACACCAAAAACGTTTTTGCTCCGAACATCGATTTTATTTTATATTATGGTTAAATAGACAAAAAGAATAAGATTGCACACCTTCAAAATTTTCTAAAAATATTCCCTCATCGAGAAAAAAAATATTTGTCTTTTTCGAAAATTTTTAAAATTTGGAGAAGTCTGTCACTGTAATACCGATAACTCGGCCATTTTAAAAGTTTTTTGACTGATTTTTTACTGAACATTACTTACACTCCGTACAAGACAACCCATTAAAGAATTATATAATTGAACAATAAATGACCAAGTTACAGACCAAACAAGGTGAAAAAAGAAAAATTGGGATTTTTGCCTACCACCAAAGTTGTACATTTTACCACTCGCCCAGGTCATCGGATATCGCTTCAAAAATTTTTGTGAGTGTAGCTGATGATCATATCAAACTTTTTGGAACAGGATTTCTCTCAGTTTTGAGTTTTAAGGTATGAAATGTGGCCTAAACGACTTAGTAAAATTCATCGTAAAAAAGGGCCAAACATGGCAGATTTAAGGCTTAAAATGCCTATAACTCAAAAAGTATCAGTTTTTTTTGTAATAATTTTCACAGAATCGTAATCAGCTTGGTAAGACGAATCTTTTAGTACCAAATTTATAATGGTTAAAGACACAAAATTTGTAAAAAAATGTGTACAATTTGTACAAAATTTATACAAGGGGGGACCCTTGTGTTCGAGCTGGAAAATTATTTAAGACAATTTGTCTTCTAAAATCACCTATTTGGTACTAAAAGATTCGTCTTCTCAAGCTGATTACGATTCTGTAAAAATTATTACAAAAAAACTGATACTTTTTGAGTTATAGGCATTTTAAGCCTTAAATCGGCCATGTTTGGCCCTTTTTTACGATGAATTTTACTAAGTCGTTTAGGCCACATTTCATACCTTAAAACTCAAAACTGAGAGAAATCCTGTTCCAAAAAGTTTGATATGATCATCAGCTACACTCACAAAAATTTTTGAAGCGATATCCGATGACCTGGGCGAGTGGTAAAATGTACAACTTTGGTGGTAGGCAAAAATCCCAATTTTTCTTTTTTCACCTTGTTTGGTCTGTAACTTGGTCATTTATTGTTCAATTATATAATTCTTTAATGGGTTGTCTTGTACGGAGTGTAAGTAATGTTCAGTAAAAAATCAGCCAAAAAAAACTTTTAAAATGGCCGAGTTATCGGTATAACAGTGACAGACTTCTCCAAATTTTAAAAATTTTCGAAAAAGAAAAATTTTTTTTTTCTCGATGAGGGAATATTTTTAGAAAATTTTGAAGGTGTGCAATCTTATTCTTTTTGTCTATTTAACCATAATATAAAATAAAATCGATGTTCGGAGCAAAAACGTTTTTGGTGTATCTCCCCTTAAGGTATTTTTAAGAATCATTTTTGTCGGTAAGATCCTGTTTTATAATAATAATAATAATATGGCCCCCGCTCAGAACACCAGAGCTAGTGAGTAGTGGGTCCGAGGCTGATACTCGTGGTCAGCACCCCCGGGGTCGGTAACGGCAGCAGTCCATTGGATGGCTGCCGGCTAGAGCTACTCACTCCCTGGCATTGCCAGATGTCTTCTTCCTGAGGTTCAGTTATAGCACAAAGTTTAAACTATTAACACTGTTAGTTCCCCCGTTACTAGTCCAAGTAACGGGCTAGAACTTGATCAAACAGCTGGTGAAACACCTGTAGACCACCAGAACCTCAGGCTCTTATGTCCCTTCTCAACATCACTTAATGTTATCATGAGATTTTGTACTTGCTTAATATTCATGTTTAGGAGGGAAAAAAGAAAAGAAAATTACAAAAAAAGTTAAAAAAAAAAAAAAAAGAAAAAAAAAAAGCACAAAATGGAAAAACCAAGAAAAATATCTGTAACTGAGAAAGCAGTATTTTAAGATAATATTTCCCCTGATTTTTATAAGTATCACATTGTAGTATGTAAGTATCACATTGTAGTATGTAAGTATCACATTGTAGTATGTAATAAACATTTGTAGTAGTGTAGGATTGTTTGAATTTCTTTTTGCTATGTTTTATAATATTTATTTGTATAATTTGTGAGTGTTTCTCCCGCTTTTCTTCCCTTGCGCAGCAAGCCCTGTCTCTTGTAAAAACAACCTTGAAAGTTTTGTAGATACATAAAGTTTCTACACCTTTATCCTCTGGTCCCTAGGGTCAGCTGATCCCGGGCCAGAGGAAAACTACCGACTGCCAAGGTCTGACGCCTAGGCAGTCGAGACCTCTTATTGAGACCCTTTATAATAATATTAGAATCTGTCCTACCCTACCAGTTTTCTTAAATACAGAAATACAAATTACTATCATTAATTGCTAGCAGTGTACGCTTGATCATATTTCTAATATCGGATAAACTGAGATCAGAAAAACTGAGTTCTAATGTACCGTCACAATAGTGACTTTAATATAATATAGTTTTAATACTTTCAACACTATTATATAACAAATAATTTGAGGAAACGATGTTACTGAGTCGATATATTTTAATGTTGTCATGGGGATTGGGGTGGCAAGTCCCCATACATCGTGGTCCGGTAGTTTCATTGCGTCTTAATATAATGAGATCGAAGTATTAGGCAAATATTCGAAATCGATTATTTCAAATAAGTTACGTCGTTTCGCAACCGCCATGCGGTTGGTGCGCGCGCGTTACGTTCGATCACACGAACGAATGGCTCGCGAACAGTCCGTTGAAAATATTTTGTTGCACATTCCATCTCGTTAAACAAGTAGACCTGTTTTCATATTCATGAGAATTACACATCGCTGCGTCCTGAAGTACGTGAATAATTCATCGAGTTGCAAACGTATGATACACGGAGCTATATATCCAAAGTAAAGGCTATGTGTGGCCTAATTGCAGCTAACAATTGATGACATGGATCAGGATGTTGTAAGATTTCGCTGGTTGTCGATGTAGCTCCATAATGTGACAACAACTCTATTTGACTGTGAGATCTGGAACACAGGTTCAACCTTCCAAAAACTTCCTTATAAGGGCATGCTATCAGCACGATATTTAGGCTGAACATCTGACGGTGAACGCTCTTCACTCTTGTTCGACAAATTAGCCAGCCCACCACGCGTTACCCTGCCCGATTTCCCGTAACGACCCATCACAGAGACGTTACGCAAAGTCCAATACGAGATGATAGGTAGCGAAACTTCACTGTTACGCCACTGCTGCACAGGTCTGTTATTTTGCAGGGTGGAGTGTACAGCTCGCAGCACCCATAATCAGGGTTGCCGGCATTTTTGAGAGTCATTTTTAAGGTTTTTTCACGTCTTTTAAGGCCCCTTTTGACCCATTTTTAAGGTCCAAAACAGTTAAATTTAAGGTTTTTTAAGGTTTTCCGCTACAGAAATTGCAATCATATGACATATCTAAAGGGGGAAGGTATAATTTCAGAAAACCCCAATTAGATCTACAACAAGCTAGGTATAATTTCAGAAAAACCCAATTAGATCTACAACAAGCTAGGTATGATTTCAGAAAAACCCAATTAGATCTACACCGAGCTAGGTATGATTTCAGAAAAACCCGATTAGATCTACAACAAGCTAGGTATAATTTCAGAAAAACCCAATTAGATCTACAACAAGCTAGGTATAATTTCAGAAAAACCCAATTAGATTTACAACAAGCTAGGTATAATTTCAGAAAAACCCAATTAGATCTACAACAAGCTAGGTATAATTTCAGAAAAACCCAATTAGATCTACACCGAGCTAGGTATAATTTCAGAAAATCTTATCAGGTCTACACCGAGCTAGGTATAATTTCAGAAAATCTTATCAGATCTACATCAAGCTAGGTATAATTTCAGAAAATTTTACTAATCCGGAAAATCCATTTAGATCTACATCAAGCTAGGTATAATTTAGGTATGGAACCTTAAAAAACCTTAAAAACCCGAAAATTGGCCCGTTTTTCACGTCTTTTTTAAGGTTTTTTGCCCAAAATTGCCGTTTTTAAGGTTTTTAAGGTTTTTTAAGGTTTTTAAGGTCCCCCGGCAACCCTGCCCATAATGTGTGCTGCAATCTGCTCGTTATTACATTGCGCTTTTACCCAACAACTCTATCAAGTAAAAATACGAGAGATAACGTCACTTTCTATGGTTTTGATCTATTTCAAGATCTTACGTAAGACTCCACTACTATTTTACAAAGGTTCATGACGTGGCTGTAAATACTAACTACCTGTGTACTAGACTACCTGACTCCACAAAACAAAATATTAATGGAAGCTTTTATATAGTAAAAAAACCCCACATACTCCCTTAAAATAAACTAATAGGGATCTGATAAGATCAGACCACAGCGAATGTAAAGGAGCAATACCGTTATCATATCTACAAGTATTTACCAGGAGAAGAGAAAGCAGGTCTATTGAGGGGAGTACTAGCAGGGTTAGTGCGGTCCTTGCCGTGGTACTTGAGCGAGGAGAGCTGGTTCTGGGACTTCTTGGCGCGCAGACTCTCTGGATCATCAGCCACGCTCATCTTCGTTCCTTTCACACTTTGATTGTAATCTTTGTGGTAATTAATCTGAAATTGTGCGCGTTAAGTTAAATTACTTTATGATTTTATTTAAGTTATTTGTGGGGTTTAGTGTCCGTGGAATGGGATTAATTTGTATGATTTTACTTTGGTCAGGAATATGTATTTTACAGTATTCATTGTCACAACATACTTTTCTGTCAGAGTATTACTATCAATAAAGTAACAATAACGCTGTAATTTATTAATATGCAGGACAGGATAACTAGTAACCAGTAATAATTACTGCTAGTCCTCTATTAGACAGACTGGTAGTCTGATAGGTGTTCTAAGTGGGCGTATGATCCTATTTACACTGTAAGTCGACACGGACTGTAAATTAAGTCTTCCATCAACCTGGGCCGGGTTAAACTGTTACTGGGGGGGGGGGGGGGGGGGGGGGGGGGGTGGTTGTCTAACTGTGAAAGTTTAGAGTGTTATTTCATTGTCTAGTCCACGTCTCCAACACGTGATATGCAAATGTCAGGTCACCCTTACTATCCCCCCTCTATTGTTACCAGCTCCGCAGTAGCACTGGATCAGTAGCTGGTTACAACAATAGGGCCGCGATCACAATGTTACACATCAGTGTGACCCCTGTACTGATATATATGTGGGGTCAACGCTAAACTAGGCATCCAGTGCACGGCCTATTTTACTAACCTTGTAGTTGTGATCATTAGTTACTACTGTTCTGCTTTGGTAAAGCCATCTCCATTTCTACCTTGACAGGTATTTTATATTTTCAGAGAGACAGGAATAACGACCCATATAAAGTAGATGTAAGAATATTTTAGGACTCATTTTATCAACATGCAGTGGACTTTGTGTCCCTGTAATCCGTATAAAAGTTATCAATTTCAGATCATATCAAGTTACTTAGGAACAAGGGAGTCGTTAGATTCAACGAGAATTACAGTCAAATATTTAACATACCTGCGGTTCCTGACATGTCCATATAAGGTATTGAATAGGATAGAAGATAGATTAACCTTTAAATATTATTTGGCGTTTCAGGGTCTATGGAAGGGGAGAGGTTTTACATTGCTGTAATCATATTCTCACTCTAACCAGCAGTGCTGACGTATTCGCCGCATATTACGGATATTTTCAGAGAAATCTTAAGAAATTATTTACACCCCACGTCCATCCCTTCATCCTTTCTAGAAATTCCGACTATTCTAACTTTCTAACAATCTGTAATTTACAAATATGTATCTCCCCCATAAATCAGCTGGTCACGGTTTATTGGCTAGCGACTGACCAGCGCGCTGTCCTATTATTACAAATCTTTTAACACATTTACTTGAATATTTGTACACTTGTCATCAGTCAGTTCACGTCAATCTGAGGACCGTCATTCGCCGCTCAGCTATGTTATGACACCTTATCAGATGTTACGAATATTTATATACCAAACGGTCGAAGCCGTTATCTCAAACCGGAGAAGTAGCACCGTGAGACCAGATATACCGGCAATCCCAAAATCCC